CCTAGGCCGGCCTGGGAGCTGGCCCCTCACCCTTTCTTCCCGCACAGGCTAAGGACTACATGAAGGGCCTCCCCGAGTTGGAAAAGAAGGATTTTGCCTCCATCCTGACCAATGCAAGCCCCCTGGGTAGGGCTGGACTTGGGGGAGTGTAGGGTCAGTGACCAGGTGCTAGGGCGGGTGCGGGGCCCTCTGGGCTGCCCAGCCTGACCTGCCCTCCCCACAGCTGTGAACCTCCTGGAGAAAATGCTGGTGCTGGATGCGGAGCGGCGGGTGACAGCCGCCGAGGCTCTGACCCACCCGTACTTCGAGTCACTGCAGGACACAGAGGATGAGCCCAAGGCCCAGAAGTATGACGAATCCTTTGATGATGTGGACCGCACATTGGAAGAGTGGAAGCGTAAGTGGGGGTCTCTGGGAGGGGCCTTTGGCTGGACCCCGTGAACCCCACGCAGGTTGCCAGGGCTCAGAGTCCTGGGTTCGCCAGGTAAGGGATGCAACAGGAGGTCAGAGGGCAGTGTGACCTCTGACAGCAGTGCGTCCTGGCCAAGGTGACCTCTGGCTGAAGCTGAAAGGTGAGAGTGTGGACGCCTGCAGGGGCTCGGCACACACAGGAGCACAGGATGAGTTCTGGAAATCACAGGGGGCAGCTCCAAGCTCAGGGCAGTTGTGAGCACTTCCCCTCTCCAGTGCCTACCTCTTCCTGTCCAGGCCACAGACCCGGCCGGCTTGTCCCCAGGCCTCTGCTCACACCGCCTACACTTGCCCTTGTCTCTCCTTGCCCCTTTCATGACCTTTGCACCTGAACAACTACATACCCTTCACTTCCTGCTAGCGGATGAGGGCCACCCCAGCCAGTCCCCAGCCCTGTCCCCTATAGCCTCTGTAAGCAGTTCAGACCCCCCTATAGCTGCTCTGTACCTTCAGACTTTGCACTGGCCATGCCCTAACACTGGGCCCCTCTCCTCATTTCTGAGGGTCAAACTACACCTGCTCAGCTTCAAGCTGGGTTCAAGGATGCCTGCCTGGTCAGTCCCCAGGCCTCCCTCTGCTGTGGCCCTAACGCCCCTATGCTGGAACTGGCCTTGTCCATCTGCATTCCAGAATGGCTGGCCATGAGGGCTGGGTTTGGTCTTTTGGTGGCTGCAGGACCAGCCTGGGGGTGCAGACATGCCTGAGAGCAGCCGTGAGCACCGCCGGCACCATGGTACATGGCTGCCACTGTGTGCTAGGCCCCATCCTGGCTCTGCCTCAGACCTAGGGCCTTAGTCCTGCACAAGGGGGCAGGGGTGGGGCTGGCTGGGTTGTGGGTCCCAAACTGTGTTCCTTAGATCCTCTGGGTTCCTTGGTGCCTCGAGCAGGGCTCAGTCCTTATCTGTGCTGTGTTTTGTGCTTTTAAGATTGGTTTGATGGAAGTTTTTTGTTGCTAAAAAAAGATCTCATGAAAACCACATGGCCCACAGGATCCTCTCTGTGGTCCCCGCCCACACAAACCATGCTGAGAGCTTTGCTTTGACTACAGACCATGGTGGACACGTGGCCTTTTTGTGACTGAGCTCCGGGTTAGGGTGCAAACACTCATCACCTCCTGTCTCCCTGGGAAAAAAGCCAGCTCTGCAGCAGTGGCCTCTTCACACAAACCTTCCCTGTGTGGATGGCCCCTGCCTTAGGATTAGAGGGGATACACTCTCAGACCACCTGCTCTAAGGTCACAGTGTGTCCTGAGCTGGGCCTGTGGAGTACCCGTGTTCCCCCAAGCTGGCACCTCACCAGCCAGGTGAGCGTGAAAGGCTGGGTTGGCTGAGCAGAACCAGTCCATTTGCAGACTGGTCAGAGGGGAGTAGAGCAGGCCCCTGGGCCCACCTTTGGTTGGCTCACTCCAGGCACATAGTTCAGGGAACATGACCACCTGGTGAGGAAGGTGGGTGGGAATCCCTCTCATTAATCGTAAGTAGATATTCTGGATCCAGAGACTGGGGTGTGCCTTGGCGGGACTCTGAGCCGCTACTTGAGTGAGCACATTGGTTTACATCCCTAGGACACCTTCGCTCACAAGGGCAGGCTGTGCGGGCCAAGGCCTGCCGGCTGCTTCAGGGACAGTGGTTTTGAGTTCCAGGAGCCCTTTCAGGGTGGACAGTCATTGGACAAATGTGGGTGGGCTGACAGTCACTGTGGCCTGGGACGAAGTCACACGTATGGGACAAAGAAACCCACCTGATGCCTACACCCCAGCAATTGCCTCTGACCCTGATGTTTTGGGGGTGGTGGGCCCCTAGGTCAGTGGTCTGGGCCTAGGAGCTCTCCCCACCCCCACCCTCACTGGACTCTCATGGGACTTATTACTGGTCAGTGAGCACTGGTGAGCTGGGTGCAGCGCTTATCTCAGGTCATTGGTGTCTGAAGAGGTGTGAACTTTAGGGGTTATTTTTATTTATTATTTTTCTTGGGGGGGTTGTTGATTCTGATGGGCAATTGGACCCCTTCTCCCATGACTCTCCATCTCTCTCACCCCACTCCAGGTGACACATATAAAGAGGTGCTCAGCTTCAGGCCTCCCCGGCAGCTGGGGGCCAAGGCCTCCAAGGAGACATCCCTGTGAAGACCCCTGGGCCCTGAGGGGGTGGTGGGGAGGCCTTGGGGACCCTGGCTGGCACTTCCACCTAGAAGGGGGGGATTGTTCCTGTGACCTCAGCTGGGGCTTGCATCCCAGGAGACTCCTCATTCCATGGACCCCATCCCCCAAGCCTGTGGCCCTGCTCTCAGGCCTCCACCTCAGCCTAACCTTGGAGGAGCCTTTGGACTTTCTGGACAGGACACCCACCCGGCCTGGGGCTGGCCTCTTGAGCTGTGGTCCCCTGAGCCGGGTGCAGCGAGAAGCGTCAAGGCCTTCGGGCGGGATGGGCTGGGGCCCGGGATGGAGGCCTGGCTCCCGGGCCTGCCTGCTGGGACCGCGCTGAAGCCCAGCTCATGGCTGAGAAGGAAGGACAGGAAGGGCGCAGGCGCTGACTCAGGGACGACTCCTGGCACCCCAGCCTGGAATGCAACTTGTCCTTGTGGTGTGCCCACAGGGCTGGGAGGAAATAAACCCTTTTGTAGAGCTCCCACTCTGGCTTCACTTCCCGATTCTCTGGCTGGACTCCACCTCTGGGCCTCTGCGCCGCAGCCCTGCACAGAGGAAGGAGGCCAGCGAGGGGGGGGCCTCAGCCCCTCCTTCCCAGGGCACGAAGAGCCGCGCCCACTTCCCCTGTTCTGTGCCAGTGAGCCCGGAGCCCGGAGCCCCCCCATTAGGGCTTGTTCCCCCCCTTTTTTTT